CCCCCAAATATGGGACTGGGGCAGCTGTTATAATGGTTCGGAATGATCCCTCCTAAACGGTTCCAAAGTTGTAATTTGATCCGAATCCTTTTTTACCCAAACCTTGTTTAAGTCCTTCCGATCAATCGGCAAAAGTTGTTCAAAATCAGAGAATGCAGTTTGTTTGGATCCGATGCAATCAAGATGAGAGAAATAAAATGAGAGAGTCTTATTGGTGAAAACCTACGGACACCGTAAGGCGATGGTGAGTAGAGAAACTAAAAAACGAGAGAGTCTTGTTAGAGAAAACTCGTAAAGAGCACTATAAGGCGATGGTGAGAAGAGAAATGGGAGAGATTGATTGGAGAAAACCCAAAAAGGGCGTTGTTGATCGAAAAGAAGAAGACCCTCACCACCATTGGTACTGAAAGAATCCTGGCAAGGTTTCTCGGTTTTAAAACATGGTCACAGTGGGTTTATGAGGAGTTAGATAGTTGTACAGATCAGACATCCAGTCCAAGAAGCATGTCATGTCTATTGAAGTCTGCACACACCCCGGATAAGTCCTTCTTTTTTCCCGGAAAAGGGACACTTCTCCTTAAATTCACATTCTTGTCCTTTGTTTACGTTTCTTTGAATCCCTTTCGGTCTAACTCTATTCTGAAACTAATACAAAGAAAAGATGGCAAGATTGGTTTTTATAGGGTTCTGCTTAATAAAAGTCAAGTCCAAAGAAAAGTACCCAACCTCAGCGGGTGCGTCAACTCGATCCCGACTGGCTATGATGGTCGATGCTCCGAAATCAGAATTATTGAAAATGAAGAGGAATCCAAAGTCAAAAGCCCCTAGAGGCAGAATAAGGTGAAAGGGCCAAAAGCCCCACACGGCCCCACACGGCTGAACCATCAGCTGGATGGTTTGTAAAGTTGAGTTCCTCGGTCTTAGGATAGAGATCAATCCTCCGAAAAGCTAGCGAACAGCAGAGGTCATCACCAAAAGAGTTGGGCCGAGATCAAGTGATCAAAAACAATCAAGGCCACAAAACCAACCACCGTTTCAAACTAACAATTGTTCTTTGTTTGAAAAATTGAAATAGGTGCAGTCCAAAGCAACCGTGCAGGAAGTAGGAGCAATCAAAAAGGAAAAAGAAATGTGCAAGTGCTAGAAACAGCTTTGCGGCAATAATCAATCCGAAAGGGAAGTCTCTTCCAAATTCTTTCCTGCATTTTTACTCATTCTCCTGAAAACAAAAAAAAAAAGAAAAACAAAAGATAAGAAGAAAACATAATGAAAAAAAAAAGAGAAGAAGAAAATTCAAAATCACGGTAGCATAGGGTCCCATTCCCTAGTCTATGACAGCATAACTTGTTAATCTTTTCCCACATAGGGTCCCAGTCCTTGGTCACTGCCAGCATAACTTGTTAGTCTTTTTTCAATATAGGGTTCCACTCCCTAGTTTATCCCCGGCACAACCTGTGGGCCTCCCCGGCATAACTCGAGGACTTTTTTCTTTTCCGGCATAACCCGATGACCATTCCCGGCATAACCCGCGTACCTCCCCAACATAACCCGAGGACTATTTTCTTTTTTCCGGCCTAACCCGATGACTTTCTCGGCATAACCCGTGGACCTCCCCGGCATAACCCATGGACCTTTTTTCTCTTTTCCGGCATAACCCGATGACCATTCCCGGCATAACCCATAGACCTCCCCGGCATAACCCGAGGACCTTTTTCTTTTCCGGCATAACCCGAGGACCTTTTTCTTTTCCGGCACAACCCGATGTACTTTTTTGGCATAACCTGTGGACCTCCCCGGTATAACTCGAGGACCTTTGTTTTTCCGGCATAACCCAATGACCTTTCCCGGCATAACCCATGGACCTCCCCGGCATAACCCGAGGACTTTTTCCTTTCCCGGCATAACCCGTGGACATCCCCGGCATAACCCGAGGACCTTTTTCTCTTTTCCAGCATAACCCGATGACTTTCCCGGCATAACCCGTGGACCTCCCCGGCATAACCCAAGGACCCTTTTCTTTTTTTCCGGCATAACCCGATGAACTTTCCCGTCATAACCCGTGGACCTCTCTGGTATAACCCGAGGACCTTTTTCTTTTCCGGCATAACCCGATGACTTTCTCCGGCATAACTCGAGGACCTTTTCTTTTCTGGCATAACCCGATGACTTTCCCCGGCATAACCCGAGGACCTTTTTCTTTTTTCGGCATAACCCGATGACCTTCCCGGCATAACCCGAGGACCTTTTTCTTTTTTCGGCATAACCCGATGACCTTCCCGGCATAACCCGATGACCTTTTCTTTTTTGGCATAAACCGATGACCTCCCCGGCATAACCCGAGGACCTTTTTATTTTCCAGCATAACCCGATGACTTTCCCGGCATAACTCGAGGACCCTTTTTTCTTTTTCGGCATAACCCGGTCATCTTTCCAGCATAACCTGGCAATCTTCCCAATTTAGGGTTTTACTCCCTACTTCCAAAGATACACAATCCTTATTTTTATTGCTTTCAATGAAGAAATAGCTTAGATTTTTGTTGCAAATAACTCACGAAATTTTCCTAGTGAAAACTGGGGCAGAAAAATTTCGTTTGTTTGTTTTGGTGTCTGAGCAGGTTTGACCAAAAGATGCGGACTGCCCATGATATAATTGAAATCATAGGCTTCGCATGTCCCGACTTGATCCAAAGCTAAAGAAAGAACCAGTACCTACAGCTGAAGAGCATCAAGATTCAGATCGAAATCCACAGCAAGAACCAGCTAAGACTCAAGATCAAGTTTCAAGAGATTTATAGATAGGAATCTTGTAACTCGTAGCTGATAGGATTAGCTAGTTTAGCTTTTTATTTTTTATTTTTTGGTGTAATAAGGAGTTCAACAAGCAGTAGCAGCAGCAACAACAGTGAAATCACAGCTTCCCGGTAGTCCCAGCTAGCAAAACTTCCAGAACTACACTGACCTGATTCCTTTATAGCCAAGGATATGTAGGCAACCTTTGAAGCAAGGTTCGGTCAGACTCTTTTCAGAAATGCTTCTCATGGAGTTTCAGATAGGCAAAAGTACCTCATAATTATTCATTTTATCTTTACCCGAAAACCCTTCGTGTATCTAAGCACAGAGAGGCAGCTGTGAGTACGTTATTTTTGCCTCACATGAATTACTCCTAAAGAATTCCAAAAATTAGATTTTTTTTCTTTTAATTATTTGTTATTTTAGGAATTATTGTAGAATTTTTTGATTGTTTGCATTTTTGTGTGCATGCTTAATTTTATTTAATGCATGAAAAATACAAAAAATACTTTGCATTTGCAATTAGGATTTAATTTTATATTTTTAGATTGATTAGTAATTAGTGTTTTACAAAAATAGAAAATTCACAAAAAAATAACTCATATTTGTATTCTTTAATTTTTAGCTTCGAATTTTTGTAGTTTTTCTTTTAATTTGGTATTTAATTAGTTGTGTTAATTATTATTTAGAGTTAATTAATTTAATTTGGTAGGTTAATTTGATTTAGGAATTAATTTAGGTTTTAGTTTAGTTTTGAAAGAAAACAAAAGAAAAGAATTTTTGAAATAGAAAAGGAAAAATAAAAAGAAATGAAGAGAATCTTCTCTTGGACCAAATATATTTGATATTCTTCAGGCCCAAATGGTTACCCCTTGTACCCGTTAGAATACCCCAGATCAGCCCCCAACCCGGTCCAAATCTCGCTCAGAACAAAACGACGTTGTTTCAATTATTTTGATTAGGACCGTCGATCTCGCTTGATAGGACGGTTCGGAACTGGTTTCCTTTTAATATATATAACTATCCTAAGCCTACCCCTCCCTCTAACTCATCTCTCCCATTGCTCCTCCTCTTCAGAGACGACCATTAACCCTAGCGCCGCCCTAGCTTCCTCCGGTGGTGGTGCCGCCTCCAATCCTCCCCAAATCTACACCATAGACTCCCTTTCATCCTCCCATTCCGAATCCTCACTCCTTATCCCTCGAATCTTTCCAGAATTCTCGAATATTGAATCTAAGTTCGAGCCCTAAAGGCCCAAAACCAAATCTATACATGCAAGGATATTTTTCCAGTTTTCCTGAGTATTCAAGGTTGGTTTCATCACAAAGTAATGTTGTTCGCTTGTTCTTGACAAAGAACAAGCGATTGACATTATTTGGGGGTTAAATCAAAATATAAGTCTCGAGTTCGAGCATGGTCGGTGAGTTTCTTCATTCTTTTGTTCATTTTTGTATTATTTCAGCTTTCATTCCTCTTTATTTATTCTCTTTCTCTTTGGTTAATTCAATTGAAACACGGCCAAGTTTCTGGACGAGATTGAGTAATGTTCGTTTGTTCCTTTTTAGTTTTCTTTTCCAAATCTTGTTCTCTGATTTTTCTTGGTCTGTTTAGTTTTCTTGTTAATAGCATGATTAAATTTTTGATTTCACCTTTTTGTTTAGTCGCCTAGTTTTACCTAATTATGTTTATTTTGATTTAATTTAGTTAATTCCTTGCCTACTTGTGTTAATTAATCAATCAATTTGTTAGGTTTTAGTTTTTAAAATCATTCAAGGTTTTCTGGTGTTTGTCATAGATTACCGGTTTAGTTTGGTTCATTTTGCTTTTTGGGCTTTGAAGCCATTTTAGACCCCACTTCAGGAGATTGGTTTAGGTTATTGGGTCAGATTTGGACATGTGATTTGAGCCCATGTCCAGTTGAACCATTTGTTCAACTTGACCCATTTGGGTCTCTGAAGTAAATAAAAGTGTTTAAGAGGGTAGTCTAGGGATTTAGGCTAGGGGAATATATTTGTTAACTGAATAGAAAGCTTCGTAGAAGCTGGCCTTTGGGACTAAACTGAAAATTTGAGTTTTAAGCTAAGGGTATTTGAGCAAAAATAAGAATATCAAAAGGTTTAAAGTGCAAATCTGAATCCCTTTTATGCTGCCCTAAGACTTGCCTATAAAGGCATCTTTTCTTCTTGAACAAGTCAGACTTTAGAGATAAAAATTATGAAAAGCTGAAACGGCTCAGTTTTTTTTAACATTAAATTCCCTGCATTTCTTTGTTGAAAACTGCTCAAAATTTTGCTTGGTTCTTTTGGTTTCTGATCTTCATTATTAGTAAAAATGACTGGAAATGTCCAAATTTTGCACCTGGGTTGAAATAGATTGAGTTTTGGATCTTTAAAAGTTTGGTTTGAGTTTTGTTGTTTGGGGGTATTGCTTCATTGCTGGGGTTTTTAGCTGATTCTGCTGCTGCTTCTTTTTTTTGTTTGAGCTCTTGCTGTTGTTTCCTCCTAATCTCAGACTTCGCTCTGTTCTTGTTTGGCTGTATTCAGGTACCTATTCCCAAGCTCTACTAAATGTTGAAGTTAGATTTGAAGCATGAAATAAAAGTAGAATTTGAAGCATGTCCTCAACTTTAGCTATGAATTCAGTTTATATTTCCTCATTATATGATGTTTTAACAGCCTGGTTCACTGTACCTTTCAATTAATTTTTGGTTTGGATAGGGAAGTTTTGTATTCTTATATTAATTTGGGACTGAACAGATACTACAACAGAAGGTTTATTCCAGTTACATGACTCGCTTTATTCTGTTGAAAGTCAGCATCTATCCTTGGTGTAGATTTCATGTTGAACTTACAAGATGACTGGTGTAGTTTGTTATTTGAAGGGTACTGTGAGGTGTTCTAATATAGCTATGATAGTTTTGTTGGGAAATAAAGTCTTTTTGTGATATAGGATCACGAACACATGTTAAGAGTAGTTTAATTTACTTATGAGTCTTGTGTGAGATTTTTGCATAATCAGTTTAGTGTACAATATCTTGTGAAATGAGGGTTTAAATCTTGCAAGAGTTTCGAGCCTTGAGTTTGTCAGTTGTGAAAGACATTCCGTGTTGTGATAGGTATACGGTTATTATGAATAAGGAAAATGGTCTAAGATTATTGGTTTGCTCATGAGCATGTTTAAGTTGGGATTGGTATTTTTAAATTTTATAATATCTATCTAGTTGACTTTTGCTTAAAAAAGTTAAAAGTTCAGAAGCAGAATGTCAGTTCCATTTCATGTTTCATATAGTTTTGTTTGATTTGCAATTAATAATTTTGCACAATTGTTTGGTTGTAAAAGTTGGGCCTATTGTTGGCCCAGTTAATGAAAAGTTTCAATTTCAGTTTCAATTGCATGGCCTATGTCTTTGGACGTTCATTTTTTTCATTAAGACTTGGGCTCATTTTGGGCCCAAGCATGAAGGCACTCGCAATGAGATTTGGACATATTTCGTCTTTGTTGAATCCAAATCTTCCGTTAATTGTTTGTGAGGACCCAAGCCCCTTTTAATTTAGTTTTGATCAAAATCCCAATTCCCTTGGTGTTTAACTAATTAGATTTCACCAATTAGATTGGAGGCGTGCCGTATTAGTTGAAACATAGTTTATGGCTCTCAAAAGTTTAGTTTGAGCTTTTTCTTTAAAATTGGAATTGAGGTGTGTCATGCCAAATAAAATCTCAAAACGCATGGCCCTCATTTTTATTAATTTTAAATCCTTAGAAATCGAGGCGTGCCATTTAGTTGAATTTTTCATGACCCTCGCAAATTCGAAAAACCAGGCGCATAACTTAATTTACTCTCCTAAACTCGGGTTTGCATTTATGTGACCCAAATCCAAATCTCAACAACGTTAGATAAAATATGTCGTGGACCGCGGGTGCATTTATGTGACGTGGTTCAAGACGTGTTTTAGATGACGTTGAATCTTCCCTAAAAGATAATTAAGTAAAAGCGGTTATAAAGTTAAAATTGAACCATAGGTTAAAACATGTATTAAAATCAGATAACAGGCCAATTATAATAGTTTAAGCGGCCGTGCTAGAACCACGGAATCCGGGGGTGCCTAACACCTTCTCTCACGTTAACAGAATTCCTTATTTAGAATTTCTGGTTCGCAGACTTCAAAAGGAAAGTCGAAATTTCCTCTATTTGNAAAAATTATGACCAACTTTGTCGCTATTTTGGTCAAACAGTCAAAACTTAATTATCTACCAAAATATCGATCAAAGTTGGTCGCTATTTCTAATTCCAGAGTCAAAGTCGGGTTTCCCCTCCCATTCTCTTATTTTCTTCAAAATATTTCCCCAAGCTCTCTCTTTTCTCTCTCACACTCAAACCTCCCCTCTCCGTCTCCCAGCAGCAGCATCGCCACCGACGCCCCACCGACGGCAGCAGCTCCATCGCCGGCGACCCTCTAGTTCCCAAGTAGGTTTCCTCTCCTTCCTTTATTTTTTTTTTCGAAATACACTGATTTTGTTTAATTCCTCCTAGTTTGATTTGTAAAAATTAATTGTTCTTAGCTAAATTAAATCTATGATAATTGTTAGTAGCTAAAATATTTAGCTTTACCTACTAATTTAGGGATACAATTAGCAATATCTAAATAAGAGTATTTGTCTATTTAGTATTAGGGTTTTTGGTTTGAATTACATTAGATTTATGAACTTAAGGTAGAAATTATGAACTTTTAGTTCTTGTATTAATTTATTTTGAGTTTAATTGTGAAATATTGTTCATATATGTTGGGTTTTCTGTCTTAATATTGTTCTTTATTTGAGATAACAATGAAATATATAGGACTAAAATTAATTTGACTAAATTCATGCTTTAAACTATGCATTATACATTTATAAGATAAAAAAAAACATCGAGGGCTGCTATAGATTCTAATCCAATGAAGAAAGAAAAAGAATTAAAGGTAGGAGTTTATTAATGTATAAATTATGAACTTAAGGTCATATTGGACTTTTAGGATATGAATTGGACTTTTAGTTAACTAAAAAAAGATTAGGATACGAATTAACTAAATTAATTTGTTTTTGTTTTATTTGTATAGATGGAACATCATACTTGGATGTACACTAGGAAATATCCTAATCGGCAGGGATTGCGGGAGGATTTTGTAGGAGGGGTGGATGACTTTATTAGACATGCAATGTCACTTCCACCATACCTAAGTGAATGAGTAATTAGGTGCCCTTGTGTTAGGTGCGATTGTATGATGTTTGGAAAACCGGCGAAAGTTAAGCATCATCTTTATATGAAGGGGTTTATAGCAAATTACTTTGTGTGGACTAATCATGGAGAGATCAATGGTAGTCATGGGATATTTCATAACATGGTTATGGGTGAAAGTAGTAGGTCGGTGGAGAATACAAATTGTGATTCTAGAATTCATGATATAGTTGCGGATGCTTTTGGGATGCACTTAGGGGGTGAGCCCAATGAAAATGTTGAACAAACTCCTAATGATGACGCAAAATGTTTTTATGAACAGTTAGAGGCAGCTAGTCGTCCACTACGTAATGGAAGTCCGCACTCTGAGCTGTCTGTTGCAGCTAGATTACTAAGTATCAAATCTGATTGGAATATTTCTCAAGCAGCCATGTACTCTTTCATTGACCTTATGAGTGAACTAGTTGACTCTAATATCAAATTACCTGCTGATTTCTATAAGGCAAAGATATTAGTTTCTAAGTTAGGACTTTCGTCAATGAGAATTGATTGTTGTGAAGATGGTTGCATGTTATATTATAAAGATGATGCAAATTTAAGCAGTTGTAAATTTTGCGAAAAGCCTCGTTTCAAGAGGCTTTCTAGCGGGAATATGGTCGCTATCAAGGCGATACATTATTTACCTCTTATACTTAGGTTAAAGAGGTTATATGCGTCGATGAGTTATACTCTCATATGAGATGGCACTTTGAAAATAGAAGACCACCTGGTGTTATGTGTCATCCTTTAGATGNAAAATTTTCCTACGTATGGAATGTTGTCTAGGTGGATGACTACTGGGAAGCTAGCTTGTCCTTACTGCATGGAAAATAGTAAAGTGTTCACTTTGAAACATGGTCGAAAGCAATCATGGTTTGATTGTCATCGTCAATTCTTGCCTCCTGATCATGAGTTTGGAAGGATGAAAAATGCATTCAAAAAGAATAAAATGGAATATGATTCTCCACCTCCGATACTTTCAGGTGAAGAAATTTGGGAGAGGATCCAGAACTTCAGTAAAGTTACTGAAGCTCCACCTTATAGATTCTCCGGATACGGTGTTATTCATAATTGGACGAAACAGAGTATATTTTGGGAGTTGCCTTATTGGAAGGATAATCTTCTCCATCACAACCTTGATGTCAT